AAATAAACAAAAAACCAGTGGGAAAGAAAGAAGAAAAATAAATCCATGAAGGAAGTTACCGGGGGGGTTGCAAGAATGATAGAATAGCTAAAACAGGTGACTTAAATAATCCTATCATAGACTAGAATAGTGAACAAAGTGAGCAGAATTCCGAGAGTGCGTTCAGAACAATATTCTACAACGGTGTCTCCAGTCCAACAAGGAGGCTTTGTTCGGTCTGATTCTGAAGAATGAGATGAGTCAAGTGCATAATGTATCAGTAGGCTAACATTTAGGGAACAGTACCACAAAGTTCAGATTACCAACAGAAAAAGTACAAACGTGCAAGTACTAGAGGTTTGGTTTTTAAATATATTCAGGACTGAGTTAAACAGATTTTCTGTCTGTGGAGAGTCAAAGCTAGTGAGAGGAAGGAAGCAAAGTGGAGTTAAGACCACTGTCAGATCAGCCAGGGATCCTACTGAAAAGTGCAGTAGGCACAACGGGCCAAATAGCGTACACTTGCTCCAAATTCTTGTATTGTTATGGAACTGGCACAGGTAAAATGGAATTCAAGAATGGCAGACAAAACTGTCCTAACCTTATGTTTCCATGAGGAGTAAGGTAGGCCAGAGCTCCCTAGATGATGAAAGTGAAAATAAGGTGATGCATTTAAAGGTTACACATGACAGATGTCAGATTGATAAAACAAATGAAAATCAGACTGCATATAGAAAGCTCAGAATGGAAGTGAAAAACAAAATAGGAGCAAAGAAAGTAGAAAAGGTGCTGGAAATCAACACAAAAGGAATAAGAGATAGTAGGAACTGCAGATGCTGGAGAATCTGAGATAACAAGGTGTAGAGCTGGATGAACACAACAGGCCATGCAGCATCAAAGGAGCAGGAAAGCTGACGTTTCGGGCCAAGACCCTTCTTCAAAAACGTCAGCTTTCCTGCTCCTCTGATGCCACTTGGCCTGCTGTGTTCATCCAACTCTACACCTTGTTATCACAAAAGGAATAAGCAAGGTTTCTTAGGACCAAAATGGGAATTTATGCCTAGAATCAAAGGCCATGCTAAGGAACTAAATTGATATTTTGCATCTGTTTTTACTAAAGGATAAGATGTAGCTAAAGTCACAGTGAAGCACCAGTAGCTCAGTCATTGAATCAGTTAAAAGTTGATGAAAAGAATGTATTAGAAATTTTGGCTGGAGTTAAAAATCATATGTCACCAGTACAGGATCAAATGTATTCAAGGATAAATGAAGGAAGTAAGGATGGAAAGTGCAAAGACACTGACCGTAATCTTCCAAATCTCCCTAGATCCAGAGCAGACAAAGTTGCAACATTTCTCACGAATAAACCCAGAAATACAAACCGCTCTTTTAGCCTCCCTGATGGAAAAGCTTTTAGAAACAAGAGACCAAGAAAAAACCTGTCAATTGGATAAACATAGATTAATAAAGGGAAACAAGCATGGACTTGCCAGTTGTGATTAAGGGTCACTGGACCCAAAATGTTAACTCTGTTCTTCTCTCTACAGATGCTGTCAGACCTGCCTTGTTTCTCCAGCACTTTCTGTTTTTGCTTCCCATCTCCAACATCAGCAATTCTTTGTTTTATATGGTATTTAATTAAGTTGATTGAGCTTTTTAATGAAGTGTCAGAAGTGTAATTAGGGGTCATGCAGTTGGTGCACCTAGGCTTCCAAAAGTGTTTGATGAACAGTCACATAATAGACATGTCAGTATAGTTGAGGTCGATGGGAGCATGATCTAAAGTTGGCTGCGAGAGCTATTGTGGTACGGTTATAGAGTCCGGACTTCTAAACCAGGAGGCCTGCTCAGTCCCACCTGCTCTGAGGTGTTAATGACATTTCTGAACATGTTGATTCAAAAATATCTAGAAAGTTGCCTGAGTTGAAGTAAACAGTAATGGTGAACAGATTTTAGACTGGGGATGAAGGCATACTGCAAAGTTCCCCAATGATTGCTACTAAGATCATTACTTTTCTTAATCTATATTCATGACCTAGACGTGAATAGGCAGGGCACAATTTCAAAACCTGTAGATGGCACAAAACTTGGAAGCTTTGAGTACTGAGAGGTGGGCAGTGACAGACTTCAAGGAAATATGGAATGGCTGATAGAATGTGCATGTGACAGATGGAATATAGAGAAATGTGACGTTATATCTTTTGATAGCTAAAACAAGGAAAGACACCATAAAATAAAAAGGTACAATCCTAAAGAGAGTGCAGATATGGAGGAACTTGGGAGCGTATGTGAACAATCAATCAATGAAAGAAGCACAGTAGTTGGGAGAGTGCTTAACAAGATATATGAGATGTTGAGCTTTATCAGTAAAGTACAAAGCAAGAAAATTAGGTGAACCATTTAAGAAATATTAGTTCAGCCTCAGCTGGAATGTTTTGTAAAATTTCAGCATTAAACTTTAGGAAGAATCAAAAGGCATTGGAAAGGTATCACAGCAAGGTAGACGCATTGTGCAAAGACACAATTAAAGATACAAAAGCATGATTTAAGTGCCATTACAGAAACATGGCTATATGGTGAGCAGGATTGGGAACTGAATATTTAATGATATTCAATGTGTAGGAAGGACATAAAAGAATGTGGAGTTGTGCTAATAATAAGGGATAGGATCAGAACATTAGTAAAAGACGATCTCAGATCAGAAGAACATTGTGCGGAAGCTGTTTGCATAAAATCGAGAAACAGCAAGAGGGCACCAAATATTGGTTGCAGTTATTTATAGACCACAAAGAGTAGTGATAGTGAGGGACATGGTTTTAATCAAGAGATGAGAGATGCATGTAATGCGAGTGACAGTTATCATGGATGATTCAATCTGCATTTGTACTGGATAAACCAATTGTGCACTAAAGACGTGACAGTTGAGTTTCTTGAATGTGTTTGAGATGGCTTTTTAAAGCAGTATGTTCAGGTGCCAATAAAAACTGAAGTTACTGGAAAAGATCAGCAGGTCTGGCAGCAACTGTGAAGAGGAATCAGAGTTAATGTTTCAGGTCCAATGACCCTTCCTCAGATTTCTCTTCACACATGTCGCCAGACCTGCTGAGCTTTTCTCCCAACTTCTGTTTTTGTTTCTGACTTACAGCATCTGCAGTTCTTTCAGTTTTTCTTCAGGTGCCAACTAGGGACTATGCAATGTTAGATCTAGCATTATATAATGAAAAGGGCAAATTAACAATCTTGTCATAAAAGAACCTAGGGACGAGTGACCACAACATGATAGAATTATACATTATGCTTGAAAGTGAAGTAGTCATTTTGAAACAAAGGTGTCAAATTTAAATAATGGAAACCATGAAGCCATGACATATAAATTCAATGAAGTAATTGGGACAATTACTTAATTACAAGACATGACTGTACAGAAGCAATTGATAGTCTTTAAAGAACTGTTGTATGACTTACATCCTTTGCAACATTCCTTCATGGTACAAAAACTGAAAAAAAAAGAGTAATCAACTGTGCCTAACAAAGGAAGTTCAAGATTGCATTAAATTAAAAGGCATGGCCTTTAAAGTGGCTAGAAACAGCCATAATTCTAAGAATTGGGAGGTTTATAGAATATAACAAAGGAGGAGTAAGAAATTGATAAGGGAGCATAAGATATGAACACGATTTAACTAAAGCTTCTATAGGTACATAAAGGAAATGTTTGGCTAAAGCAAATGGGATTCATTACAGACAAAATCAAAAGAATTCAGAAATGGATTGGAAGGTGGTAGCAAACATCACCAGCTATTTAAGAGGAGAGTGAAAGAGAAAGCAAGAGGCTACAGACTGTTTTGTATCTGTAGTTGGGAAAACACTAGAATCTATTTTAGTCTATTGATCTTTTGATAACTGGCCATTAATAAACAGGAAATTATGCTTGACGAACCTTGGAGTTCTTTTTTATAAGATGTTACTAACAATATTGAGATAAAGGAGATAAACTGATGGACATAGTATACCTGAATTTTCAGTAGGCTTTTGATTAAGTTCCCCACAGGAGGCTGGTTGGAAAAGTTAAAGCACATGGGTTGGGAGGTAATGTATTGGCATGTCAATGATTGGCTTACAAACAGAAAACAGAGTAGGAATAATTGCACCATTCGTGCGTTGGTAAACTGTGACTACAGTGGTACCACAAGGGTCAGTCCTTGGACTCCAGCTGTCACAATATTTATCAATGACTTGGAGCTGGTGACTAAATCTGTGCATGATACAAAGTTAAGTGGGAATGTATGTTGACAGAACTATGTAAATTGGCTTCAGAAGGATTTGGACAGGCTTAGAGAATGGACTAAATATGGCAGTTGGAATGTAATGTGAAAAACATGAAGTTATCTATTTTGGTATGAGAAACAAAAGTGCAGAGTATTTTTTTTTAAATAGTGAGACATTAGAAAGTGTAGATGTAGAAAGGGACCCAGGTCAAAAAGTCACTGAAGGTTAACATGCAGATACAGCAAGATATCAGAAGGCTAATGGAATGTTAGCTGCTATTGCAAAAGGATTTGAGAACAGGAAATGAAGTCTTGCTTCACTTGTATAGGAATTTGGTTAGACTGCATCTGGAGTACTGTATTCCATTTTGGTCGCTTTATCTCAGGAAAGATATTACTGCCATAGAAGGAGTGCAATGACATGAGATGGTCAGACTGAATTATGAAAACAGTTTGGGTGAACTGGTGCAGTATTCTCTAGAATCTTGAAGAATGAGAGGCAATCTCATTGAAACTTACTAAATACTTAAAGGGATAGACAGGGTAGATGCAAGTAAGATGTTTTAAAAATTATGAGGATGGCTCAAAGGCCTAAGCTGAGGAGAACTTTCTTTTAATGAAGAGGGTTGCGAACCTTTGCAAGGGCTGTTGAAGCTTAGTCTTTGAGCATTTTCAAGGTAGAGGCTGACAAATTTCCGATTACTAATGACACACAGTGTAATAGGGATGGGTGGACAAATTACAAAGAAACATTACCTGTTCATCTGAGCCACCTGAAGCAAAGAAGTCTCCAGCATCGGAAAAAACTACACATGAAGCTGGACCCTATAAACAGAAGACAAGAAAGTGAACGTAAGCTTCTTTTTATCCATACTGCATTACAGAAAAATTAATTTGACCAATGCATTTATTTGGTAAACACTGAAACAGCTTACATAATGACCAATCTTGCTCCTAAACAGAATTCCAAACACTACAACTACTCAAACGTACAATGTGGGTGCCCAAGTGGGACTACTGGCAAACAGGGTATTGTAATGCAAATGTATGCAATTTATTGTCATCAAACTTCGTACAGTTTCCAATTGCACAGGTACAGTTTTGAGATAAACTAGCCCTGTAAAAAATTGAGTGCTAATGCTTCACAATCTGTTGTTTTGGTGCTATCTTAACGGAAAGGCTGATGTTAATGTTTAGAATAAGAAATGGGGGTTTGCACTTTCAATAATAATGAAATTCTGTTTATCTTTTACAAAGAGATTGAGTTTAAATTCAGGGCTTCACCACTCCAACCAGCTTTTTCCAATATGGCTTATGGGAAGTAAATGAGAAACAACCACAAGTCCTTGACAACTATTGGACAAATTCATCTGGCCCTTTTCTGAGTCCAAAACACTGGTTTCCCTATGAAAAAGCAAAATTTCTCCTCACCTGCCCATACAACTACTTTGTGCAAATATGTATTGAACAAATAGTTCCAGACATAAAATTGTACCCTCCTCCATGAACTTGTAACCTCCTCCAATGACTTCACATCCATACTCACTTTCCCTGGTCCACCACAGAATGTCCAATACCACAACATTACCTCTCTGCCAACTCCCCCCTAGATATTCAACGAAGGAACTAGTAATCCCACAGTCATCCTATCAAGGGCAAAGTAACACACAAACACATTGACAAGACATATCGCCTTCATGTAAAGTGGTTGTTACTTTTGCCTGGGGGAGGGTTGAGTTTCAAGGCACCTGAACCAAGGTTGCAGGTCAGTGCTATTCAGCCTCACAAGAGAATCTGGATCAGTGCAGGAATACAAAAAAATTGCCGTGCTCTAGAGTTAGTTTATAACATCTACTCGCTGCAAACTGTCATTCAAAAAGCATCACTGAATTTAACTATCTGTCCAGACAAGCCAGACAGGACAAACATCTTAAAGACCAGGGATCAAGGGTTACGGGGAGGAGGAGGATAATGGGATTAAGAAACACATCAGCCATGATTGAATGGTAGAGCAGACTCAAATGGGCCAAATGGCCTAATTCTGCTCCTATATCTTATGGTCTTAATAAAAACAGATATGTGCTAACTAAAGCTCTTAAACTGAAAACTGTAATCTCAATTTTCCCATCACACAGCACATCTTGCTCTTGTAGTGTGAAATATGACTGAAATAACTCCCAAGTCTTATTAAAATGGACATTAAGGAGGTTAGTTTTTGAATTTGTGTTACTAGCATTGCACATCAGGAAATGTGCTCCCAGCACAACCTCATCCATTAAAATTAATGGCTGTAAAATCACAGACATACATTTGCTATTTCTGCAATTTTCGTACATGTGAAGCTGGCAGGAAAACCCTAAAAGTAAGCCTTAAACTTTTTGTACATCACTGAAACTTTTCAATAGACAAAATAGCATGATCTTAAATCACAATACACTGAGCAACCCACATAAAAAAAGCATTACACTGTTTAACATCTGAACAAGCAAAGCAGATCACATCCTGCTGGCAAAATTCAGAACTGCATCAATATTATAAATCATTGTAACTGTACAATAAAACTTGAATTCATTGTTAAATGTCTTGATCAGTTAAACCTTTCAATCTGCTTGTTTAGACACCCATTAAGCTTTAGAACAGTTTCAAATTACATCTGATGTGACAAATTGCAGTTTTTCTCCCCCCCAGTATGCTATATAAAATGTTTCAGAAATACTTGAAACAGTCCATTCAAATAGACTGATAAGAATAGGAACAATTTGTTTCAAATTGAAGTCATAATTAAACAAGTTATGAGAGTGTTGGAGAAGGTACAGACTGGGGTTGAAGGAAAGGGCCCATGATTTCAGTCTAGCGCCTATTCAGCTGGAAGAGATTATAACTCATGCCTGACTGTGAAAGATAGGAATTGGACAGATAGAGTTGTGTGTTGGATAGTTGGGAACTGACCTTGTATCTTAAGGTGTTACCAGATCATGAGGTAGAGGATGGTGCTAATGATAGGAACTTGGAGCTGACTCTGCTAGCTGGAAAGGGATCTTCTGGCTACAGGTAGATCACAAAGTGAGGAAACAAACAACAAAAACAGAGATAGTAGGAACTGCAGATGCTGGAGAATCTGAGATAACAAGGTGTAGAGCTGGATGAACACAGCAGGCCAAGCAGCATCAGAGGAACAGGAAGGCTGACGTTTCGGGCCTAGACCCTTCTTCAGTAATGGGGGAGGGGAAGAGGATTCTGAAATAAATCAGGAGAGAGGGGGAGGTGGATAGAAGATGGATAGAGGAGAAGATAGGTGGAGAGGAGACAGACCGGTCAAAGAGGCGGGGATGGAGCCAGTAAAGGTGAGTGTAGGTGGGGAGTTAGGGAGGAGATAGGTCAGTCCATGGAGGATGGACAGGTCAAGGGGGCGGGACGAGGCTAGTAGGTAGGAGATGGGGGTGGGGCTTGAGGTGGGAGGAGGGGATAGGTGGGAGGAAGGACAGGTTAGGGAGGCGGGGATGAGCTGGGCTGGTTTTGGGATGCGGTAGGGGGAGGGGAGATTTTGAAGCTTGTGAAGTCCGCATTGATACCATTGGGTTGCAGGGTTCCCAAGCTGAATATGAGATGCTGTTCCTGCAACCTTCGAGTGGCATCGTTCTGGCACTGCAGGAGGCCCAGGATGGACATGTCGCCTGAGGAATGGGAGGGGGGAGTTGATATGGTTCGCGAGGTGCAGTTGTTTAGTGCGAACCGAGCGTAGGTGTTCTGCAAAGCGGTCCCCAAGCCTCCGCTTGGTTTCCCCGATGTAGAGGAGGGGGTGGCCATGGGTACCCACATGGGCACAAGCTATGCCTGCCTCTTTGTAGGTTACGTGGAACAATCCCTCTTCCGCAGCTACACTGGCCCTAAACCCCGCCTCTTCCTCTGTTACATTGATGACTGTATCAGCGCTGCCTCATGCTCCCACGAGGAGCTCAAACAGTTCATCCACTTCACCAACACCTTCCACCCCAACCTTAAGTTCACCTGGACCATCTCTGATACCTCTCTCTCCTTCCTGGACCTCTATTTCCATCACTGGCAACCACCTGGAAACCGATATCCATTTCAAGCCCACCGACTCCCACAGCTACCTAGAATACACCTCCTCCCACACACCTTGCTGCAAAAATGCCATCCCCTAATCCCAATTCCTTCACCTCCGCCGCATCTGCTCCCAGGATGAGGCATTCCACTCCCGTACATCTCAGATGTCCTCATTTTTCAAGGACCGCAACTTCCCCCTTTCAGTAGTCGAGAATGCCCTCGACCGTGTCTCCCGCATTTCCCGCAACTCATCCCTCACACCCCGTCCCCGCAATAACAACCAAAACAGAATCCCCCTTGTCCTCACGTACCACCCCACCAACCTCCAGATCCAACGCATCATCCTCCGACACTTCCGCCATCTGCAATCCGACCACACCACCAAAGACATTTTTCCCTCCCCACGCTTATCTGCTTTCCGGAGGGAGCACTCTCTCCGCGACTCCCTTGTCCGCTCCACACTCCCCTCCAGCTCCACCACACCCGGCACTTTTCCCTGCAACTGCAGGAAGTGCTACACCTGCCCCTACACCTCCCCCCCTCACCCCCATCCCAGGCCCCAAGAAGACTTTCCACATCAAGCAGATGTTCATCTGCACATCTGCTAATGTGGTATACTGTATTGTGGCCTCCTCTACATCGGGGAAACCAAGCGGAGGCTTGGGGACCGCTTTGCAGAACACCTACGCTCGGTTCGCACTAAACAACTGCACCTCCCAGTCGCGAACCATTTCAACTCCCCCTCCCATTCCTCAGACGACATGTCCATCCTGGGCCTCCTGCAGTGCCACAACGATGCCACCCGAAGGTTGCAGGAACAGCACTTCATATTCCGCTTGGGAACCCTGCAGCCCAATGGTATCAATGTGGACTTCACAAGCTTCAAAATCTCCCCAGCCCCTACCGCATCCCAAAACCAGCCCAGCTCATCCCCGCCTCCCTAACCTGTCCTTCCTCCCACCTATCCCCTCCTCCC